TAAAAGCAAGTACTTCTGTACTTTTACTTAAGTAAAAATCTGTCTTTACAACTTTTACTTGTAATGGAGTAATATTTGACCAGCAGTATCTGTACTTTCACTCAAGTAATAGAGTTGAGTACTTTGTCTGCCTCTGCCTTCTTGTAATCAAAATTAGGAATTGACAAGAATACTGAAATCATTAATATTCAAACGATGCCCAACCTTACCCATACCCCACATTATTTTTTACTGACACCTTTATATTCACACGGTTTTAGATCCTTCCTTTTCTTTTAAACCCTCACTTTCCCTTCTTTGTTTTTGCCCTTCTTAAAAACAACCACATAATCTGAATGTGAATGTACTTTTCAAAATTGGTTATAAAACAGTTGCTCCTGGCAACAGGGATAGGTAGTATGTTTGCTTAACATAGCATCAAACATGACAATTTATGAGACTAATATCATGTTTTGCTCCAAAATCACTATATATCATCAGTCGTGTTTGAAACAGTTAGCTTCTGTGGTTCCATGTTGCTTCTTATCACAGTGAGACAGAAAATATTCTTTATAAAATTCTATACTATGATACAAGCTATGTCAATTAGCGTTGCATTGCAATTGTGTGTTTATTGTCTTCCACATTTCATCAGTCAAAGCATCTCTATCTGCATGCTATTCAGCTGTAGTGATATCTGATGCATTAGTCCATATAAGGGATTTCCTGGGTCTCACTTGTGAAACAGACATTACAGTACATTGGTGTTAGGATTAGGGTTAATCCTGCTCCATAATGCTCATATTGTCGCATTTTGGGTAAAGATAATACTAAAGTACTTTGCAACGCAGTAACTTGAGTAGTTTTCCAACAAACTACTTTTTTACTCTTACTTGTCATATTATTTTTCAGTACTTTTTCTTTTACTCAAGTAAATTATTCCTTAAGTACCAATACTTTTACTTTTACAATTTCTTAGTACTCTTTCCACCACTATACAAATAAAGAAAAGAAAAATCCTTCGCATGTAATAACCTAAAACACTCTCTAACTTTTAATGGCTGCTCTGTTAATTCTTTGTCATAAGTTAGGAACCTAGGTGTGCTATTTTATAGCAATCTTTCCTTTTGAAAACCATGTTTCTAGCATTTGTAAAACCATTGTTCTGCGTGCTTAATAAACAAAATGCAGCAGCTAGAGTTCTTAATAGAACCAGGAAGTACGACCATATTAGCCCGGTTCTGTCAACTCTGCACTGGCTCCCATATTGAAAACCAAATACATTTTAAAATCTTGCTAATTACTTTTAAAGCCCTTAATGTTTTAGCTCCTTAATACTTGAGCGAGCTCATATCACATTATTGTCCTTCATGCCCGCTGCGATCTCAAAACTCTAGCCATTTGATAATACCTAGAATATCAAAGTCAACTGCGGGCGGCAGATCCTTTTCCTATTTAGAGCCCAAACTCTGGAACAATCTACCTAGCATTGTTCGGGAGGCAGACACACTCTGTCAGTTTAAATCTATATTAAAGGACCATCTCTTTAACCTGGCATACACATAATACATTATCGCATTTCTATAATTCAAATCTGTTTAAGGATTGTTAGGATGCATTAATTAGGTCAACCGGAATGGGGAACAAAACATTTTTTTGTCACCAATGGAGTTTTGGTTCCTTGCCACTGTCGCCTTTGGCTTGCTTAATTGGTGGACACAATTTCTGGCAATATTGTTAACTTGGTTGTACAGACACTATTTGAAGAGAACTGAACTGAGCTGGATGATGACATCACAGAATCAATGATGAACCGACTTTAACTGAAAACTGACTGTTTTCTATGTGTGCATTATCAGCACACATTTTTTCTGTTTAACACCGTAAAGCTGCTTTGACACAATCTGTATTGTATAAAACATTCCTTTTCTCCCTGTTTCATGGGAGGTGTTTATGGCCAAATAGTAAGACACAATTAAATTTCTCACATCTTAAGTATCAGTAAAATGGTCACTGTGCATTCATTTGGGCCCTATCAAACACCCGGTGCAATGTGGCAATATTTATTTATTTTTTGTTATTTAAAGAGCGAGTTAATAATATGCGTGTAAAGGCGGGTGCACAGTGCGCATACACTCTGCTTATTACACACACAAGGATGCACAGAGCTGGATGATGACATCACAGAATCAATGATGAACCGACTTTAACTGAAAACTGACTGTTTTCTATGTGTGCATTATCAGCACACATTTTTTCTGTTTAACACCGTAAAGCTGCTTTGACACAATCTGTATTGTATAAAACATTCCTTTTCTCCCTGTTTCATGGGAGGTGTTTATGGCCAAATAGTAAGACACAATTAAATTTCTCACATCTTAAGTATCAGTAAAATGGTCACTGTGCATTCATTTGGGCCCTATCAAACACCCGGTGCAATGTGGCAATATTTATTTATTTTTTGTTATTTAAAGAGCGAGTTAATAATATGCGTGTAAAGGCGGGTGCACAATGCGCATACACTCTGCTTATTACACACACAAGGATGCACAGAAGCACACAAACATTTTTAAAAATTAAAAATTAAAGGATTAAAATGTTAAAGATTAATATTGTGTTCATAAATATAAAAATGCCTACATGTCATAATAGATAGTTATTGCATGTATTAGATTTTTTATATAAATTTAACATTTGTTTAGAGAGCATTTTCTATACATACAGTAAATAAATAAGTCAAGCTGCAATACCAAACAGGACCACACAGACGCCAACAGACCACTATACAAGTCGCCTTAACCTGACTGTATATAGATATATACCGATCCATTCAGAATTATTAAACACAGCAAAACACAAATTTAAAAAGTAAATAAAAACAATATGAATTTGTTGAATATGGTGATCTGTAGGCAGCTCGACATCACCAGTGAACAGTTCCTCTGTCAGAGTGAGTGTTCATGCCCATATGTAAACACCATTGACCATCGCAAACTCCTATAATAACATGCTTCTTCAGCGAGTTTCCATTATAAAACACTTGCCAAACATGAGACCATACTGAAATGTGCTCGTGCAAAAAGCTATCAGGGTTGCGCGCAGACACGGTCACGGATATATGACTCCTGTATGTCACTGCAATCGTCTTTACCTCAATTACAATCGTCACCCATCTAAACTTCAGTGGTTTGTTTCATTCAGCCCATACAGACTAGTCATGACTTCATATTTCTTATTTATAGAGTTTGTTCCCACCAATCGCAGCACGGGTTAAGGTTATGTATGATGGCGAAAGCACGTTAGTGCTCGCCCTCCCGGAACTCATAGAGATTGGGCTCGTTTGAGATGAGCAAAATCTGCACTGAACCGATCAGCGGTGATCACCGCAAGATGCATGCTGGTTAGAAATGTGTCCGAGGGCAGCCCACCTGTTGCAAAAATTCAGTGACTTCTCTTATAAAACAACATTTTTTTTTTCAGTTCAAAAATAGTTCAATCCACAAGCATTGCTTAGTGTAAAACATGTTGGAGATTAGCAGATAGGCTGTCGATTCATTAAATAAGCTGTTTCCTCTAAAAAGCTGTTTATTCAGCGTAGTTAAGCCTCTCCTCCATTAACATCCATTCAAAAAAATAAAAACGGCCTCGAGTCTCCTTTCCCACAACATCAAACAAACCGATGCAAAGACTAGATCCATGGCAACTATTTTTATTATTTTTTTTTAATCTTTCCATCTTATTATTTTTAATGTAAGAGCTGGCGTGAATTTGATTGTGCGAGGCAGCAATCTCCATTTATTAGCCTATTTAGCTGTCCCAAAACAGGTCATTGGTCTGCTGGTTGTTGTAAACCGTTATTTGTTCACAAAATATTAAAAATTTATTAACATACTAATAAACACTAATTTGTAGCACAGTTCACACACCAGAGGTAAAGCGCTATATATATATATATATATATATAGATAGATAG